GGGATGGCAAGAGATTAGCCTGCTGGAGATCCAGGCTGAGAGGGAGAGATCCTCACCCTGTGCTCCCACCCTGTCACATCGCCCCAAAGGTTGGGTCGGAGCTTGGACAGGGAGAGAAGATAAAGAAGGAATTACAAATTGAAAGGCAGAATTGCTGTGCTCTGCAGTTAACCTTTACTTTTAGCCTCTCCTCCCTGTGACCAGGCAGCTGGAGGTTAGCAGGGCCTGAAGTGGAGATAATTGAGCCTAACCATGTATTTTTCTTGATGCCTGATCTCAGGAGCAGTGTGGGAGAGGGAGTGTTTCCTCACATGGAAGAATTACCCACCAAAAAGGCAACATTGCTTCCCAGCCAGCTCTTTCTGACTTCCCCCCACCCCGTGGGGCTGGAGGACAGGTGATTGCTTTGTGGCTGCTCTCCCAGCTTGTGGTTCTTCCCATGTTCCCAAGGAACGTCCTGTCAAACAGAGAGGAGAACTCTGCATAGCAATAGACCTCTCAGGTTACTAAATTTAGCTACTCTCCTAAATTTAAGGTTGGAGGATTATTAGTACTTAAAGGAGGACACATCTACCCCTTTACTTCCTCTTTGTCCTCTTCTCCTTCCTCCAGTCACCTCAGGTGACCCAGTTGGCTTAGGCTGCAGGTGAGCTTTACCTCCTGAATCCCAGTGGAGGTGTTTTCCTTATGGGGTGGTTCCCAGTGCTTTGTTTCGGCAGATATGCCCAAGAAAACACAGAGCAGAGGTTTGCTGGAGGGAATCAGCAGTCAGGGCTCAAAAATGTTTGGTGGGCAAGTGTGTGCCCTGAGCACAGTGAGAAGTTTGTTCTTTAGTTTGCTAAAGTGATGTCATAGATGGAACTGGCACTAATGTGTGTGCAAGTATGAATTCCCTGATAACATATCAGTGTTCATCAGCTGATACCTTAAAAGTACACACAGAAACCCATTGCAGCCCCTGAAAGCTGCTGTTTAACCTGCCCTAACTTTTCTAAAGGCTTTCTAA